ATGGGTGATGAATGTTGCAGCGAGGAGAAGGCTGGAGGCAGTGGAGATGTCATGTCTGAGGGCAATGTGTGGTGTGAATATAATGCAGAGAATTCGTAGTTTGAAAGTTAGGAGGAGGTGCAGGATTGCCAAAACTGTTGTCCAGAGGGCTGAGGAAGGGTTGCTGAGGTGGTTCGGACATGTAGAGAGAATGGAGCGAAACAGAATGACTTCAAGAGTGTATCAGTCTGTAGTGGAAAGAAGGCGGGGTGTGATGTAGTCCAGCTGGGCTTGTGAGGTCTCTGGGGAGACCTAATTTAACCAATTATATGGTCACACCTTGCCTTGGCAAACGTCTGTAGCCACGCCCACGTCTGAGGTCTTTTGTTCTTGACGGCGTCAGACCTATTCGTCAGGTCGTACACGTGGTTGTGGAGGGTGCTTGGACCACCATAAAAGCCCAAGGAAGAGCATGATCAGGAGATTCGAGCGGAGCTGCTGCTGGGGTGCAGAGCTCCTGAGCAAAGATTCGAGCGGAGCTGCTGCTGGGGTGCAGGGCTCGGGAGAAGGCTGCTGAAGTCTCTGGAGGAGACTGTTGGAGGCATTGGGCAGAGTACTCGTGCTGTGTAGGTCTTGGGACCTGTGGCTTAGTTCCTGTAGTGAACTGTCCTCTGTACTATTTGTAAGTTATATTCATTTTCGTCAAGTTGATTGTATTTCCCTGTCTCACTGCTTATGTGTACCACCCCATTTATCTAAACCCCAATGATGTACTCCTATTCCCAAATATATTATTGTACAAGGACTTAATAATAAACTGTGTTTGAGTAGAATAGTAATATTCACTGCCCACCGTTATTTATTCTTTTTCTTATATTTTATTATGTTTATATATAAGTGAAGAATGGGCGAGGCATATGTTAGTGAGTAGTGTAGAGTTAATGAGAGTGTCGTGGTGGTCACGACTGACCTGTCATTACCTACCTACCTCCGCTAATCATCTCACTCCTACCACCTCGCCTGCCTCTCCCCTGCCTACATAATCCCTTACTCCCATATTCCCCACTTATATCCGATACGTTCAATTACCCCCCTACATGACATGGTGTCTAAGCGGTGGTGGTTCTTATTATTTTTATAGTAGGAACCAGTCCCATGTGCCTTATTTTTGACTGCTCGGTTATACTTATGCTACCATTTGATTTTGTGTTATTATAATGATATAATCCTAGTGACCTTAACTGACCTTTTCTTGACAGTGGGTCTGAATAATTGCTTGGTTGTATTATTATATTTGGTGGAGTTTGTTGTTGGTTTGAGATAAATGGTGGAGAATATCAGTGTTTGGGTGAGACTTTTGGGGGAAGCAATTACTGGCCGAAATTGAATATTTACAGAGGAATGAGAAGTCACCCAGCCCACCTTGGAAGACTCACCCACAACTGTCACCCACTGAAGAGATGCCTATGATTATTACCCACCTGATATGCCCAGTCACCCAGCTGATGTGCCCCAGTAGATGTATTGCTGCCCTGGTCTGTCATCCAGTGTAGTGGGTGTCTGTCTGCGTCACCCAGCCTCTGTGACCATCACCCGCGGACCGCCAGTTACCCGCAGTTGCCAGGGATGGGTGACCGTACCTGCTGTTGATGACTTGAAGCGACCTCACCTCACCTCGAGCAACTGACCATAGCCTGCTACTGCTGTCAGCTGCTGTGATGCTGTCTGCTATGCTGTGGCCGTGCTGTGATGCTGTCTGCTATGCTGTGGCCGTGCTGTGATCCTGTCTGCTATGCTGTGGCCGTGCTGTGATGCTGTCTGCTATGCTGTGGCTGTGCTGTGATGCTGTCTGCTATGCTGTGGCCGTGCTGTGTGCTGCTGTGATACGGCCGTGCTATGTGCTGCTGTGATACGGCCGTGCTGTGATGATGGATATGCTGTGGCCGTGCTGTGATGCTGCAATGCTGCCTAGCTCAAGAGGAGATGGCGGTGATGCTGCAGTGGTGTGTGAGGGATTCTGGCTGGTGTGCCAGGACAGGAGAATCTACTATGAAGGAGTTGCCATCCTCGGAGATGTAGAAGGACGTGAGCCGTGGAGATGGACTCCAGCTGCTGGGACCAGCCTGCTTTCAAGGGCGGCATGGAGGTGTGTCCTGCCTTGCTGGTCGACCTGTGCGACAGGTATGCGGGGATGCCCTGCCAGCCATGAGAGACAATTAAGAGTGTGAGATGTCCCCAGCCTACTTTGACTTGCCAGAAGTGTTAGTGTTACCTGTGTGAAATAAGGTGACCTTGAAAACGGTCCAGTGATTATGGCCGCCTTGTTTTATGAGGCCAGTGAATCCTAGTAGTGGCATAGGATAATGGAGGGTCTTAGCTGCGATGCCTGCCCTGTCTCGATTTTCAGATGTTGTAGTGTGCATGTGAAGTGTGCCGAAAATGCGACCTTGGTGGTCGTGAAGTGGTCCAGTTGCAGTTACTTGAAAGAATGCAACCCGTTGGAGCAGTTTTCCACGCCATAGAAGCCTAGAGAGGTTTGGCCCAATGGTTAACGTGCAAGGGTGACTAGCATTGGCTAGTGCATTTCTAGTAGAAGTAGGGAAGGCACTGGAGCCCGATATTTAGTTTTAAGGAGAAATGACGGGTAAGGAGGCTTTGCACCAGAGAGCAACTGTTATGCTGGCCAACTGCGAGGTGTACTGATTACGCTGCCTTGTGGTAGATGAGAAGGTTGAGGGAAATATGTAGTTGAATAATTTTGTATTATGTATAATTTTGTCTTTGTATTGTAATAGATTTAAGGGGTTAGGATTAAAATAGTCTAATAACTAGGACAAATTGTCCTAGTTCTCAGATATTTTAAATTGGGGGAGAAAGGGGAATGTGATGTAGTCCAGCTGGGCTTGTGAGGTCTCTGGGGAGACCTAATTTAACCAATTATATGGTCACACCTTGCCTTGGCAAACGTCTGTAGCCACGCCCACGTCTGAGGTCTTTTGTTCTTGACGGCGTCAGACCTAGGCGTCAGGTCGTACACGTGGTTGAGGAGGGTGCTTGGACCACCATAAAAGCCCAAGGAAGAGCATGATCAGGAGATTCGAGCAGAGCTGCTGCTGGGGTGCAGAGCTCCTGAGCAAAGATTCGAGCGGAGCTGCTGCTGGGGTGCAGGGCTCGGGAGAAGGCTGCTGAAGTCTCTGGAGGAGACTGTTGGAGGCATTGGGCAGAGTACTCGTGCTGTGTAGGTCTTGGGACCTGTGGCTTAGTTCCTGTAGTGAACTGTCCTCTGTACTATTTGTAAGTTATATTCATTTTCGTCAAGTTGATTGTATTTCCCTGTCTCACTGCTTATGTGTACCACCCCATTTATCTAAACCCCAATGATGTACTCCTGTTCCCAAATATATTATTGTACAAGGACTTAATAATAAACTGTGTTTGAGTAGAATAGTAATATTCACTGCCCACCGTTATTTATTCTTTTTTCTTATATTTTATTATGTTTATATATAAGTGAAGAATGGGCGAGGCATATGTTAGTGAGTAGTGTAGAGTTAATGAGAGTGTCGTGGTGGTCACCACTGACCTGTCATTACCTACCTACCTCCGCTAATCATCTCACTCCTACCACCTCGCCTGCCTCTCCCCTGCCTACATAATCCCTTACTCCCATATTCCCCACTTATATCCGATACGTTCAATTACCCCCCTACATGACAGGGGTAGGGGTCGGCCTAGGAAAGGTTGGAGGGAGGGGGTAAAGGAGGTTTTGTGTGCGAGGGGCTTGGACTTCCAGCGGGCATGTGTGAGCGTGTTTGATAGGAGTGAATGGAGACAAATGGTTTTTAATACTTGACGTGCTGTTGGAGTGTGAGCAAAGTAACATTTATGAAGGGATTCAGGGAAACCGGCAGGCCGGACTTGAGTCCTGGAGATGTGAAGTACAGTGCCTGCACTCTGAAGGAGGGGTGTTAATGTTGCATTTTAAAAACTGTAGTGTAAAGCACCCTTCTGGCAAGACAGTGATGGAGTGAATGATGGTGAAAGTTTTTCTTTTTCGGGCCACCCTGCCTTGGTGGGAATCGGCCAATGTGTTAATAACAATAAAAAAAAATAATTTGATTTTATTCTGCTATAAGGTGTTCCCTGTTTCCCTCCTCCAAAACATAATAATAATAATAATAATAATAATAATAATAATAATAATAATAATAATAATAATAATAATAATAATAATAATAATAATATAATATACATCATACTAATATTTTATTAAGATGCTCAGCGATTTAGGTTCATTTAAACAGTCAGGTATAAACCTAATTTTTATTACTGTTCATAATTGTAAACCTACAGCCTCGTACTGATAAACTTGCCTCTGAGCTATCTTTAGGTTATGCTGGAAATTGACGTGAAAAAGATTGGTTATCGCCAGAGTGTGTCATCCAATGGTATACAATATACAATGGTATACAATACAATGGTATACAATACCGACAAGATGAAGAATTAGACACAAGAGCAGCATGTGTCCAATTATCTTCTCCCAAAATGCTCTCTGGATGTAACAACACATTGCTGACTAGCATGAAGATAGACAAGCTGGAGAAGAAGCTTCTATATGAACAATGTTTCGCTGTGTAGAACATTATTATTATTATTGTTATTAGGTATTATTATTATAATCAAAAGAAAGCGCTAAAAGTAGAGCTTTATGATTTGATTGTAAGCTCTACACAGAGAATCATTGTCCCAATGACAGTTTGTTCTTTTGGTATTTTGACTTCCTGAGACACTAAGCAAGCATAATTTTTTTAAAGACCCTTCATTTATGTACTAACTGAACTCAGAGAGAGAGAGTTAGGGAAACAGAGAGAGAGAGAGAGAGAGAGAGAGAGAGAGAGAGAGAGATAGGGATGGCTTGTGTATGAGTATGACTGGTGCGCTTAAGAGAATGCTTGTGCTAGTTTGAGACAGTGTATGAATCATTAACACTAGGGATGGATCTAAATAAAACACAGGTCTTCAAATTCGTCTTCTCTTATTTACATGAGAAACAAGACAACACTATACAGACTTTACTTCAGACACAGGTACGATCACTTACTAGTAAATTTAAGTATTATTATGCATAGGTGCTTAATACCAATTCTGTATCTTATTGGTTTCTGGAACATTGCATTCACTATAATAGATTTTACATGTTAAGTTAAATTCCAGTAATTTTGATTTGGGATATAAATACATCATGGCAAAGCTTGGTTACTCTTATTTGTTGCGACAACAGAAGGATTACGTTCTTAATCTTGATACCTTCACAATAACGTGAAAGTATATGGTAGGAAAATCGGCATAAACAGACTGCCTCAGTATCACTGTGCAGTGATACGTTGTCCAAGTCTTTGTTCATAGCGGCTTTACTATCAGTACGTTTTAACTTGATGGGGTTATATGGCGTCAGATGTGTAAATCCAGGTGGTGTCAAAAACATGGGCAAGTTAACAGCCACCTATATTTCCTTACGTAAACACAGAGTTTCCCTAATACTGACTGGAGAAGATGTACACAACACACAAGCCCGGAGATCTTAGAGGGTCGGGAGCCACTGCACGTCATCTAGTAGCTCTCCTGACGGTCCTCTCGCACTACAGCAGTGGCAAAATGATAGTGACACTATCACTATGAACATAATAGCAACGTCACGCCAAGAAGCAGCAGAATTAAGCTTCGTGGAAGTGGCCATTGACTAGTCCGGCTACCACCGAGACACCAACTACCAGAGACACCATACAACTGCATTTTTATTATCCCGAGGCATTTAATATTTTGTTTACCTGTACCCCTTTAAATTATTGTTACAAGAGACATTTTCTTGTAATATGGCGTTGTTGGAAAGCTACGCGAGAAGTGATGAACCTGTTTTGACCCCAACGTTAGCAGTCTTGCTAATCATTTATTAAGCAGAATTATTTCTCCTATTAGTAATTTCTTCACTGCCGACACTGGCTCATCAATTAGTAGCCTCATCACTTCGAATCGCTGGTAATTTCTTGTCTCGCCACTGGTCAATAGCCTCATCTTCTACAACTTGGCCGCTATTTCTCAACAGACTGCTAATGTATTTTAGTGCATGTTTATCGTATTGAAAGCGTGTAGTATTAGTGTCATGGAAGGAGTTGTATCTCTGCATCAGCAGTGGTTGCCGGCCTCACCCGACCCTCAAGGAGCAGTTACACTCGTGGGCCATTATAAGACATGAAAGCATGTATAAGGTAAAGGCTATGTACATACAGTACTGAAGAATCATTACGAGAGCAAGTCGTCATTCGATATTAAATTATTATTATCACCATCAACGATTTGCTACAACTTTTGTGAAGAACTTCGTCGAGAATTTAAATACTGAGTCTCCATTACCATAAATATTAAGCCACCCATTTAAAATAACGTGGGTGCTCTTTCCTATGATAACGTAAGCTTGGTTACAGCTTAAAGGAAGTCAAGGTATAGGTACTTACACGTAATATATTTTTTGTAAACACTCTGGACTGGAATTCGAATGGCGACTTCTTTCACTAGTTCACGGAAGAATAACTCTTAAACCATTTGGAAGCCTGCGAGAACTGATTGTAAGACATTGATTGTCTTTAAGTATAGACGTGAAGCTGATAACTTAAAAATATTAATATAACTTTGGCGTTATACGCTTTGGCGACCGTTTTCCAGAACACATCTTACCAATACCTGTATAAAAACAAGTATGCAAATTAACATCTCATGGTCAGTGCAGTGTTTAGCTAATCTTGAGGACTAGTACTATATACAAAAATATATGAAGTAGAATGAAAAATCTTTAAATTTTATTAAGAATTATAGCCTAGTGATGTCGACGTTTTACTTACAGAAGGTTTTATCAGATACTTGATAAAGCTTCGTGCAGGTATGCTGTATAGTCCTTGTGGCTTAGCGCTTCTTTTTGATTATAATAATAATAATTCGTGCAGGTATTTAATGAAAGGTTTTCTTTTGTTAAACGTGTCTTTTTCAGCACCTATGGGCTCACCGCCTTACCACTAATACCTGGTGCTGCATCACGCCATCTGTCAACACTTGTGGTCAAATACCACCATTGTATATATCCCATAAATAATTATCCATCTGTTAACTGATGTGAAGATTTGCCTCCCCATATATCGTCCACTTTAGGCTACACTTACAATGAACTTGTGACGCTGTGACTACCCACAATTTAATCATTATCATCTAAAATAAAATTATGGGATATAAGTATTAAAGGACATTAAATGTTCGCTGCATAGCCTATAGTATTCTGTTTTATTATTAAATTCATGGGGAAGCATTAAACTTGTAAGTCATACAGCGCCTGGGAAATGGATGGTAATCAGGTTTAATTCACAGTAAGGGATGGTAGCTCCAGTTCTCCTGATCAAGAGCTCATCAGCATCAGGGCATCTCTCAAAAGTAATTCTTATGATGACTCAGAGTCTTTTTACCCAATGACAGAAATCCTCTGTTTTCCTCTTCCAAATTCCCGCTGGAACATGTCACATTTGACCAATCATCATGCCGATTACTTCACTCAAGAGTACAAGAAGCAAGAACCATCGTTGAGGCTTAGAAAAATGATACTAGGTTACCAGTGCTGCATGACGCCCAATATGGCCGACACTATGACTCAGTAACCCGAAACTTTACGTGCAAAAAACTAATATAATTGAATGATAAAGCTCCCTACTGTACGTAGCCAGTCAAGTCAGAAAACATTGCACATTGATTCACTTACATGCTACCTGTTGTTACTTCATGCAACATTTCGGTCAACTGGGTCCGGTAAACTTTTATTTTTTTTTAATGGAAATAGTGTGTAAGGAAACCGAGAAAGATGGCGTTTAATACCTCAGTTCTCCTTGTTTAGCTTGTTGCACGAACAATATAAAAGCTGATAAGTTATCAGTAAATGTTAGGTGCAGTTTGGAATATTATGGCTGCTAATGTCTAATACTGAGGCACCTTATTGTTTACTTATACTAATTCACCATAACAGTCACATTTGTAATGCACATTTTCATAAATATTTATAGAAAAGAATATCCGCAATTTAGTATCCAATGAAGGATTGCACATTATTATAATAAAAATTCAGCGCTAAATTCGCAAGGGTCATACAGCGCTGCGAAGGATTGCATATCTGTATGAAACACAAGTAAAAAATATTTTTGAGCGACAGTCGTAGTACATAGAGAAAAAACTAGTACTTGTAACACACTATCAACATGGTTATTTGAAACTCAGATACGGTGTACTAGGCTCTGCCTTGCTAGTTTGTATAGTCCTTGTGGCTTAGCGCTTCTTTATTGATTATAATAATAATAATCTGCCTTGCTAGTTTTTCATAGTAAAATTTTGTGTATGATTATAATTCATACCTAAATGTTTATTTTATATTTTCAATTAATTTCACTGCAAGGACTGTCCATGAAATATTAGCTCTCATACTTTAATTATTAGGATTTCAATAGGTCGACAGTTCAGCACAGTTTTGTCGATAACTGGGACATTGGTTCACAGGTACAGAGTTTTGCTGATTGCCCACAAGACGAAGAACCAGAGTGTGAGGTTAAGGAGGCCGGGTACGGCGTAGAATAAAACCAGTCCCGTTAAGACAGAGGGAACAGGAAATAAACCGTTAGGACATTCTAGGTTCTGATATTACACCATTAAAAAAAAATCACCCACCAAGCGAGGTTTAACCCAACCTTAGCCAGGTAATATTTTACAACGTTAGGCTCGGCTTACAATGTTAACTTTCACGCCTGCTTACAAGTAAGCACAGTTTGCCGCAATTCCATACATGTGTGATGTAAACTTTCCAGATCTAGTCATGACGGTTTTTTTCCAGAACCTTCATGAAGGTTAGTATGGCCCCGTGGCCCGCGGGGCCACTTCCGGCTCACTGGTTTTTGGAAGGAGACATAATTCATATACACAGGATGTCTATACACCTACACTACCTTTGGCATCTAAATAATTCTCAAAGAATGAGTCAAAACAATAAAATTGGACATTTAGTTCTCTTAGTGAGCTATACATTGAACACTGAATGACTAACGAGATCTTTTGAGGAGGGGAGCGTTGCTTTAGTGACGTCACAAGGAACGCCAGCACCAGGAACTTAATAAAACATAGAGGCGCAAATGATAGCAAAGAATATTATCACATTGAAGGTAAGAAAGTGAGGTTGTATCATGAAAGGCGAGCTTTGGCTCCGGTTTCCTTTTGGCAACAGTATTATACACCGGTGGGTGTTGAGGCTGTGGTGGCCCCCGTAGTGTAGTGGGGGCCCCAGAGGCTCCCTGCCACAGCGGTGAGTGAGACGGGGCCCGCCATCAACCTTCCTTGGTGCGGCCATCATCATCTGCTCGCTGCTCGTGTTGTCCCTCCCCGCGGGGGTCACTCATGTGATGCCCCTGCTGCCCTCAGGAGAGCCCGGGGGCGCCTCCTTGCGCCCTTCTTCGTGACGGCTCTCATCCATACCGTCGATACCCTCTACCTTATGACCGTCGATGGTGCGGTATATTTGGGTGAGGTGCTTAAAGATGTACTGAGGTCCCAGCCCCTCCCTGGCACTGCTGGAAGCGCTGCCGCTGCTGCTGCGGCTACAACTGCGGCGATCCCCTGTGTCTTCGTCGCTAGTATCGGCGGGGTCGGGGTGTGGGCGTGAGGGCGGGTGGAAGGCCGACACTCTGTCGTCACCACCGTGTAGGACACCCATGTTAGTGCTGACTGGGGGCGGGTCGTCCCGAGGGGTGCGGGTGTCTGAAAGTGGAGGCGAGTTGCGTGACGAGAGAGACTTGGAGAGGGTGATGGGTGAGTGGGCGGATATAGGTGGGTGCAGCCCCAACCCTCCCCCGCCTCCGCCGCCTATAGCACTATCTTTGTTATGCAGCGCCTGTGTGGCCGCCATAGTGCGCAACTGCCCCGCCAGTCGCAGGTCCAGCAGCAAACGGTACGGGTCCAAGGGCGTGGGCGGCACGTGGGCAGCCATGGGTACCTGCGGGCGAAGGAGCGAGGCCCGGGTGGACCATGGGCTGAGTACGTCATGAGGAGGGGGAACCGAGGTGGGCAAGAATGGGGCTTGCATGAGGAAGGGGGCAGGTAGGCCCTCAGGAGGGTGCTTGTCTGCCTCACGTCCCTCACTCTCCAGACGAGGTCTCTTAGCACCTCCTTCGTCCTCGCTGGAGCTCAACGCTGACACATCAGAGAACAGTGAGCGCTTGATACCCTTCTCGTGGTGCAGCTGCAGTGGCGCGGGCGAACGGTGGGTGGCGGCAGCCAAATCCAGCGGCGGTGGCATCACCGTCGGTGGAAGGGATGGCGGGGGCGGGGGCGCGCTCTTGGCCAGCAGGGCAGCCCGGATGTGCTGCTGCAGCGTCTGGTCAGGGGGCAGCCCTGGCGTGCCCGCGCGAGGTGCCATGCGCCGCAACAAGTCGCTGAAGAAATTGCCGGGAAATGGTGCCGACATGTTGAAGAGGTACGGTGGTGTGGCCGACACTAACTGTGATACGAACTGGAAGGTGTTGAAATTGTGCAGGTGTCTGGGAGGTGCTGCGTGCCCGGGACTTACGTCCCCAGATCCTCGCACACCCGTCAGGTTCGCCTCCGGTGTTGCCATCTGAAAAAAAATAAGAAAAGAAAATAAGGTTACAGATGGCTGATTTTACAACAAATGTATAATAACCTACTTTAGCAGGCCAGAGTCACTTAACCATAAGCAAATTAGGACGTGTTTCCATAGGACACCTGCTGTTCATGTTCACCTAACAGTAAAATTGATACCTGGGTGTTAGTTGACTGGTGTGGGTCGCATCCTGGGACAAAATTGACCTAATTTTCCCGAAATGTTTGCATAATAAGGGATTTTCTGTAGAGTAGTATGTCACCGATGTCAGTTAGCCAGGTATACCCTGCACATATACTTATACAAATAAAGATTATTATTATTATTATTATTATTATTATTATTATTATTAATATTATTATTATTATTATTGTTATTATAATCCTCATCACTTTTCCCTCACTGTTGCCGTCTCTTGACGATCCTTAAAGTTTACCCAAGAATATAACAATAATCCCACCCTTGTTATTTCTCTAGCAACACTTGCTACTACGTCTTATTAACTATCCTTTCTTTATTCAGCTCCACTTCACTTACCTACTTCACTTACCTACTTCACTTACCTACTTCACTTACCTCATACCCATCCTGTGGGTGGTAGTCAAAAAGATGACAGAGGTACATAATGGGTCCCGAGATTGGGACCCAAAGTTTTGATAACTGAGCAAGTTACAATGGTAATAAACTATTTACATGTTTATATCCGGTCACAGTCGTAACGATTTATTTATACAAACATGAATTAGGTCACACACACAGGCGGAAAAAAGTGGTAATGCTTCATTAACAATGAGCAAAGTCAGAACAGTTTTCCAGAACAGTTCAAGAAATGTCTTACCCAGTAACACCATTTTCTTCCTACTCCACCTTTCTCTTACTTTTATTCCGGCTGCTGCTCAGTGCTAACCATACATATCGTATAGTCAGTTATTTTTTTCTCGAAATATATATTGCTTAATTCTAAGTATAATTATTTAAAAGTTTATTGTGATTTATACAGTGCATTCCTGACTTTCCTAATTCATCTGCTACTAGAGAGTCCATTCTTCCAAATTTAAGAAAAAAGGCACAATACTGTGACTGGAACAATACACAAATAACCCACACAAAGGAGGAACTTATGACGACGTTTCGGTCCGACTTGGACCATTTACAAAGTCACACCAAATTAATTAATAATTCTCAGCTGAAAATTCTGTAAAATTTATTAAACGCCTCTTACAATCTCCCTTTCCTCTATAATTATGTTACCCGTCAAAAGCATAAACACTGTTACTCACCTTCCACTTGCATCTAAACCATGATTCATGAAGTTAAATATTTATTCCTATTCATCTTGTTCGACAATTATTCAACATTATGGACACTCGTTTACCTTTCCTTCTTTCAGATACGCTAGAATTGGATGTCGTAGAAGTGTCATTATCTTAGGGATACACTTATGCAGTGGTCCTTTGCTTTGTTTTTAAATGGCGTGTGATAGTGGCTGGGGTAAGCCAGCGGATACTTAACTAGTTATGGGTCATCTTTAGATCAAGACTAGTGTCTGGACACACTGTATCCTGGTGAATATTTCACAACCACTACCACCGTCTGGACACACTGTATCCTGGTGAATATTTCACAACCACTACCACCGTCTGGACACACTGTATCCTGGTGAATATTTCACAACTACTACCACCGTCTGGGCACACTGTATCCTGGTGAATATTTCACAACCACTACCACCGTCTGGACACACTATCCTGGTGAATATTTCACAACCACTACCACCGTCTGGACACACTGTATCCTGGTGAATATTTCACAACCACTACCACCGTCTGGACACACTATCCTGGTGAATATTTCACAACCACTACCACCGTCTGGACACACTGTATCCTGGTGAATATTTCACAACCACTACCACCGTCTGGACACACTATCCTGGTGAATATTTCACAACCACTACCACCGTCTGGACACACTATCCTGGTGAATATTTCACAACCACTACCACCGTCTGGGCACACTGTATCCTGGTGAATATTTCACAACCACTACCACCGTCTGGACACACTGTATCCTGGTGAATATTTCACAACCACTACCACCGTCTGGGCACACTGTATCCTGGTGAATATTTCACAACCACTACCACCGTCTGGACACACTGTATCCTGGTGAATATTTCACAACTACTACCACCGTCTGGGCACACTGTATCCTGGTGAATATTTCACAACTACTACCACCGTCTGGACACACTGTATCCTGGTGAATATTTCACAACTACTACCACCGTCTGGACACACTGTATCCTGGTGAATATTTCACAACTACTACCACCGTCTGGACACACTGTATCCTGGTGAATATTTCACAACCACTACCACCGTCTGGACACACTGTATCTTGGTGAATATTTCACAACCACTACCACCGTCTGGACACACTGTATCCTGGTGAATATTTCACAACCACTACCACCGTCTGGACACACTGTATCCTGGTGAATATTTCACAACACTACCACCGTCTGGACACACTGTATCCTGGTGAATATTTCACAACCACTACCACCGTCTGGACACACGTATCCTGGTGAATATTTCACAACTACTACCACCGTCTGGGCACACTGTATCCTGGTGAATATTTCACAACCACTACCACCGTCTGGACACACTGTATCCTGGTGAATATTTCACAACTACTACCACCGTCTGGACACACTGTATCCTGGTGAATATTTCACAACTACTACCACCGTCTGGACACACTGTATCCTGGTGAATATTTCACAACCACTACCACCGTCTGGGCACACTATCCTGGTGAATATTTCACAACCACTACCACCGTCTGGGCACACTATCCTGGTGAATATTTCACAACCACTACCACCGTCTAGACACACTGTATCCTGGTGAATATTTCACAACCACTACCACCGTCTGGACACACTGTATCCTGGTGAATATTTCACAACTACTACCACCGTCTGGACACACTGTATCCTGGTGAATATTTCACAACCACTACCACCGTCTGGACACACTGTATCCTGGTGAATATTTCACAACCACTACCACCGTCTGGGCACACTATCCTGGTGAATATTTCACAACCACTACCACCGTCTGGACACACTGTATCCTGGTGAATATTTCACAACACTACCACCGTCTGACACACTATCCTGGTGAATATTTCACAACCACTACCACCGTCTAGACACACTGTATCCTGGTGAATATTTCACAACCACTACCACCGTCTAGACACACTGTATCCTGGTGAATATTTCACAACTACTACCACCACCATCAAATTCAATGCCTTTACCTCTCCTTACTAACTTGAAACCCCATTTAGCTTTATTTCACTCAGTTTTAGGACATAAAGCTTCCATTTACAAAGTCACACTAACACAAGAGAGTCAGGGAGCCAGTATAATTGAGTACTATGACGGGACCAGGAGGAAGGAAAAGACGTGGTGGTAGTGGAAGTAGTGGTGGTAGTGGTAAGGCTGGTAGTGGAAGTAGTGGTAAGGCTGGTAGTGGTAGTGGTGGTAGTGGTAAGGCTGGTAGTGGAAGTAGTGGTGGTAGTGGTAAAGCTGGTAGTGGAAGTAGTGGTGGTAGTGGTAAAGCTGGTAGTGGAAGTAGTGGTAAGGCTGGTAGTGGAAGTAGTGGTAAGGCTGGTAGTGGAAGTAGTGGTAAGGCTGGTAGTGGAAGTAGTGGTAAGGCTGGTAGTGGAAGTAGTGGTAAGGCTGGTAGTGGAAGTAGTGGTGGCACTTTCTACTACCACACATGTGTTACTTGCGAAGGAAACGTAGCAGGATTAAACACTATTCAGAAACACAGGAAAGTAAATAGCCTCTCTGACTGTCTCTTTTCCCATAGAGGAGTGTCGCTGAATATACCCCTCCCATACTGAAGCCTCGTTGAATATACCCCTCCCATACTGAAGCCTCGTTGAATATACCCCTCCCATACTGAAGCCTCGTTGAATATACCCCTCCCATACTGAAGCCTTGTTGAATATACCCCTCCCATACTGAAGCCTTGTTGAATATACCCCTCCCATACTGAAGCCTCGTTGAATATGTCTACATTATACTGAAGCCTAGTTGAGTATACTTACATTATACTGAAGCCTCGATGGATATGCCTTCATTATACTGAAGCCTCGTTAAATATGCCTACATTATAGTAAAGGCTCGTTAAATATAGCTCCTCCCCCACCAGATATTGTAGCATCGTTGAATATACCTCCCTTTCCTCCCACAGTCCCCAACACAGCGTCAACACACGAACACAGCGTCAACACACCAACAGGCCACGCGAGAAATCTGGCCAAGTTGGCAGGTTTCACATAGCGCTTGTAATCCGCCAATTTAGAAGACTTGTCCGCCAGCGTTCGCACATGTGGCGGGGAGGAGGGAGGGGTAGGGCAGTTGTGGAGGGAGTGGTGGAGTGGAGGGTGAGTTGGGGGGGAAGTGGAAGCCTTATTGAGCTCATCAGCTCTCCGGTGTGGGATTACGGCCGTGGTGCTCGCTCGGGATGTGGGAAGCGGTTAGGCCGGGCTTCGCTCGGGGATGTAAATGAGATGCAACGACACCTCCTGCCGCCGATTCCGCTCGCTTTGTAATGGAGAGAGTCTTGGCTGGATGGTGCAAGTGCAAGGCTCCGGGGAGATGTTGCACACACACATACACACACACACACACACACACACACACACACACACACACACACACACACACACACACACACACACACACACACACACACACACACACATTTACCATAGGGATATAAGGAAGTATTTAGTCCTAGGTTGGTTGAAAAGTGGAATGACTTAGATGAATCAGCGGTGGAGGGAAATTCAGTGCATAGTTTCTAGAGTAGATATGATAAGACCTAAGATACCAGAAGTCGGTGATGCTGATCAAGGTTGTCTGGAAGGCGATTAAGACACATGTGCAACAGTTGGGTATCTTCATTGATGAAACGTTTCACCTACACAGTAGACTTCTTCAGTCAAGTACAGAGGCAGCAGGTGCAGTAGTGAAATGAATATGATGTAATCAGTCCATCAACCTTGGAAATATGAGGTGATCAGTCCCTCAGCCTGGGGAAGAGTTCATCTACATGGTCTGGAACAGTATTGTTCCAGACTATGGGGATGAACTCTTCTCCAGGCTGAGGGACTGACCACCTCAAATACCACTTCTCCACGGTTGATGGACTGATTACATCATCTTCATTTCACTACTGTACCTGCTGCCTCTGTACTTGACTGAAGAAGTCTACTATGTAGGCGAAACGTTTCATCAATAAAGATACCCAACTGTTGCACATGTGTCCTAATGTCTTAACTATCAACTTATCGGTATTTTATACCATTTTCAACATTCTCTAGAAGGCGGGGACAGGAGCTCAGTATCGACCCCAGCCAGCATAACACAGTGAGTACATACGCATCAAATGAGGACGTAACGACACTACTAGAAGAGTTTAACACATTAAAAGCCTCGAAGCCTGACAACATATCAACATGCAGAGTGAGAGGAGGAACCTGAGGACTGTGAACTATATCAAAGTATTATGTCACTAAAGACGGGAAGACAAACTACCCAACAATTACAAATGTGGTTCCAGTATAGAACCAGGGAAACAGACAAGAAGATACACTGAATTAGAGACTAGTGTCACTGGAATGTATACCGTCCAAAGTATTGAAAAAGATAATCAGGAAAAGACTGGAGCACCCAAAAAGAAGGGACTGTGTTACAGAAAGTCAACATGTATGGCATGCAAAGAATACGTAAACTTTATTCGGCGCATGTACACACCCTCATTGAAAGGCTATCTCCCCAACCAGCGAACCAGTACTAAGGGTTGAATGATGGGGCCCCATCGTTCGATCAGCACCCAGGTTCAGCCAATGAGAAGGTTGGTCTGGCAGTTGTGGAAGTGTAATGGTCACCACTCACCTGTCCACCCTTGGTGGACAGGTGAGTGGTGACCATTACCACTTGTCCATTCTGTCTCCAGGCTGTGTCTTGGCCTTTGATTAACCGTGCTGTACACATACATTTCCACCTGTATATAGTGTACATACTTGTAAATAATTACTATTGCTCTTGGTGAAGGAAATAATATTGCAAAGTCATTCATCTGTGTTCTGCTCCTTGCTTCCCTTTACACCCAGGATAACAGGCCTTATTGTGCCTGGGTTGTAATAACATGGATTTAAAGAAGGTAAGTCCTGCCTCACTAACCTACTGAAATCCTGTCACAGAATAACACAAAGTCAAAAGTGATAAGATAAACGAGGGCTTAAATAATATACCAGGCGAACTATTATAATGAAGAGTTACTGTAAAAAAAAGGAAAGAAAAAAGTTATAATAGCAATTGAAGATTTTTGCTATAAAAAATAAATTGGACAACTTACGAGGCTGGAATGAACATAAATGTTAAATAGAATTCGTAAATGTAATGAGTTTTATATATTTGCATAAATATATATATCTTTCAATCCCTTCATGTATGTTATAGTCCCTTTATATATGTAGAACTAATTGCAAAAATTATTATTATTATTATTATTATTATTATTATTATTATTATTATTAATAATATATTTCTCCATGTATATTACACAGAATCTATGAAAAAGAAAAAGTTGTTAATAGTAAGTCAGAACCAAATAGTTTATTAAAGTTTGTAAGAAAGTATAAAGTAAATATTGAATGCAAAACACAAAGATTGGATGACCACGACAAATTAACTAAGTTGGGGAGGAAATGTGTGACATTAAGTAGAAAGAGTGAGAGAGTTTACAAAAGATATTTTAAATGTAAAAGATTTGAGTCCCAAGTAGAAGATATGTGTGTAATCCTTCCTTGCCAGGCTAAGTTGAGAGCCTACACGGACGGTCCGTGATCCTCGTCTCAGTATCCTCCGTTCCACCAGCAAGAGCCTACACGGACGGTCCGTGATCCTCGTCTCAGTATCCTCCGTTCCACCAGCAAGAGCCTACACGGACGGTCCGTGATCCTCGTCTCAGTATCCTCCGTTCCACCAGCAAGAGCCTACACGGACGGTCCGTGATCCTCGTCTCAGTATCCTCCGTTCCACCAGCAAACTTTTAGAGTGCAGTAAAAATGCAAAGTATTTCGTTATGTGTTATTGGAGGGGCGGCAGTGATTAAGACGATATGTTGCTAGCTTGAGCAATAGCGCATTCAGCTCACACACCGAGGTCCGTGGTTCGATCCCCGGTACGGGTGGAGACATTAGAACGTGTTTCCTTAAGACACCTGCTGTCTATATTCACCCATCAGTAAAATTAGTACTTGGGTGTTAGTGGACTGGTGTGGGTCGCATCCTGGGACAAAATTGACCTAATTTGCCAGAAATGTTCAGCATAACAAGCGGCTTTCTATATAGTAGTATGTCATTGATGTCAGCTATGGTCTGTATACCTTGTACATGTACTTGAAGAAATAAAGATTATAATTATTGTTAGAATAGGGAGAATCTTAAGTTAAGAGCGAGGAGTTGTGCGCCACGGGGCAGCTTTGAGTTAGAAAACGGATAGAAAATGGGAACTGCTGGTGTCCCCCACTATAATGGAGGTCGAGATAGGCAAACTCTGAGTGCCTGGCCCCAGTTGCCCTGCAAGAATGGCTCTTGCGCTGCGCTAAAATGTATTCTTGCCTTTTTTTCCTTGCACTTGTAAAATGAGAAAAGTTTCTTTATGTTTTTAAAAAGATGAAAATGTCGGTTGTATTCTCAGTAACGACCCTCTCTTCTGGGAGAGTCGTAAGCTTGGCAGATGGATGCTCAACTGTTGAATTAATTAAAGCGTTCTAAACTTTTGAAGACATTACCAGCTCTAAAAAAGATGATATATTTTTTCTTGGATTCTTCTGGCCTTCCTGGGCGAGCTCTTGGTGCCTTCAAACATTTGCAGTAACGAGACCAGACTCTCTGGACACGCGGGAGAAAGGCAATGTTTTTAGCTATTTCAAAAGAGTGGGAAGTAGAGGAGATGGGAGACAGAGAGAGGTGGACAAGTGAGGGTGCATAAATAATCCTGGAATTAACTGTAGCGGCACGACACTCAGTGATAAGGTCAAAAAGTTACCTCGATCACTTTACTATATTACCAAACTTCTTGTGACTTATTTCAGTCTCCCCTTCAATCACCACCAGTCACCACCAGTACTGCAGTCACCACCACCAACAGTACCACTGTAACCACCACCACCAATACCACTATCACCAACAGTACCACTGTCACCACTACCAGTACCACTGTCATCAGCACCAGCAGTACCACTATCACCACCACCAGCAGTACCACCACCACCACTATCACCACCGCCACCACCACCACCAACACCACTAACACCACCACCACCACCACCAGTATCACTATCACCCCCACCACAACCACCACCATCACTACCACCACCACCACCACCACTAACACCACCACCATCACCACCAGTACCACTGTCACCACCACCAATACCACTACCACTACCAGTACCACTATCACCACCACCACCACCACCACCACTATCACACCCCCACCACCACCACCACCCACCACTACCACCACCACTATCACCACCCACCACCACCACCACCACCACCACTATCACCACCACCACCACCACCACCACCACTATCACCACCACCACCACCACCACCACTATCACCACCACCACCACCACCACTATCACCACCACCACCACCACTATCACCACCACCACCACCACCACTATCACCACCACCACCACTATCACCACCACCACCACCACTATCACCACCACTATCACCACCACCACCCCCACCACCACTACCACCACCCAACCACCACCACCACCACTATCACCACCACACCACCACCACTATCACCACACCACACTATCACCACCACCACCACCACTATCTCCTCCACCACCACCACTATCACCACCACCACCACCACTATCACACCACCACCACCACATCACCACCACCCCCACCACCACCACCCCTATCACCACCACCACCACCACTACCACCACCACTACCACCACCACTACCACCACCACCACCACCTCACCACACCTCCTCCTCCTACTATCTTATCATTGCACTTGTAATACTTAAGAAGCCTGGGTCAGAATGTCTTTAATCTTCCCCTATCTACGTCTTCATCCCCCATCCCCTTCTTTCCTTCCCCCACCCCTTCTTTTCCTTCCCCACCCCTTCTCTGCTTCCCCCACCCCTTCCCTGCTTCCCCACCCCTTCTCTGCTTCCCCACCCCTTCTCTGCTTCCCCACCCCTTCTCTGCTTCCCCCACCCCTTTTCCGCTTCCCCCACCTTTTCTCTGCTTCCCCCACCCATTCTCTGCTTCCCCCGACCCCTTCTCTGCTTCCCCACCTCTTCTCTGCTTCCCCACCCCTTCTTTCCTTCCCCCACCCCTTCTCTGCTTCCCTCACCCCTTCTCTGGTTTCCCCCAACCCTTCTCTGCTTCCCCGACCCCTTCTCTCCTTCCCCTCCTCTTCTC